ACAGCACAGCCTGTTGCTTTAACCATCTGCGTGTAGTTGGTCCAGTGTTCATGATTCCTGTGGATGTGGGGAGAAAGAAAGCTGTCTGGTGCTCACTAAATGACATCACCACTGCTCTGGGGATCTCTGTTTTCCCTCTGGGAGGAGAAACTTCATACTCTTTGGGCTCAACAGTCCCAGGACCCTCAGAATGGAAGACTATTTGGAGGTTGATTGAGGTGAAAGCCCCAATTTTAATTCAGACTCTTCTATGCGATGTGGAGGTATTGTGGACGGGTTTGGAGTGGACCTGGATTCTCTGGCACAGGCCATAGGTGGAGGAAAGAAGAAAGAGGGAGGGAAGGCAGAGGGTGGTGCGTCGGACCTGGGAACTGAATGTGCCCGAAGGAGCAGCCCTGCGTTGCCTTCTCACCATAGGGCAGCCACTGTGCCAGGCGCCTCGGCCCATCTCATTACACTCTGGACTTGCGCCCGGAGAAATTAGTGGCCATGAGCTCCATGCTACAGGTGGTGAAACAGGCTCAGTGAAGGTTGGTGCTCCAGGCTGCACAGCTAGTGAGTGGAAAAGCCAAGTTCGGAATCCAGGTCCCCTGACGCCAAGCTCATGCCCACCCTCACTGCTGGCGATGGTGGTTACCCTCACTGCTGGTGATGGTGGCTGTTGACCACTGGATCCCAGCCCAGACTCTCTCCTCCAATGCCTGGGGCGCTGGGCTGAAAGGATGGGCTGGGAGTCGGTGGTCAGAGGCCCTTAGTTCACGGGAGGGGACCCTGGTTCTCCACTGAGGTTATAAGGGAGGAGAATAAAGTTGGCAGGAAATATGGAACCAAAGGACTAAGCAGGGTGAGTGCATGAAAGACATGTGGTGCAGGAGCTCTCGGGGCCTGGCAGGACTCCCAGCTCAGGCTGGGGGACGGCCATGGCAGTTGTCAGTGCAGGAGCTGAGAACCATCTGGAAGGTGGGAGGTGCCTCCTACCACAGACACGGGAAATAGTGCTTTAAAATCTGAGTTGCCATGGAAGTGCTCCCATTCTCCCCATGCTTATGAGTTAACATCTCTGCAGATGGCTGATGCCTCGGGGACACCTGGGGACACCCCTGTTGTCATTGAGGGAGCCTTCCACTGGGACTGCCTCCTGCACTGGGTTCTCCTCTAACCCGACTGCTCTGCTCCCCAGATTGCTCTTTGCCCCCTTCGCCATGTGAGGCCACAGCGAGACATTTACCTAACAGTTTGGAGGTTGTGTGGGTCCCTGACATGTGGTCATGTGAGTGGCAGCCTCCCCATGAGTCACTGAAAATGGGAAAGTCAAGTGTTTTGAGCAGGAAGTCCCTAGGGAGGAAGCCTCATTGGTGTCTGCGGAGATGATTGTAAGTGCACCTGGGGGCTCATTGAGACCGTGTTCTTGCCCTGGCTGGGGTGGCTCAGTTGGCTGAGCCTCAGTCTATGCACTGAGAGGTCCCCAGTTTGTTTCCCGGTCAGGGCACATGTCCAGGTTGCGGGCTCAGTCCCTAGTAGAGGACATGCAGGAAGCAGCCAATCAGTGATTCTCCTCATCACTGATGTTTCTATTTCTCTCTCCCTCTCCCTTCCTCTCTGAAATCAATTAAAAAATATAGATTTTAAAAATAAATAAGTGTCATCAGCACTTTGACATAAGGCATCTCATTCCACTTACAAATGAGGAAGCGGAGGCTCCAGAGGGCAATGTCTTGCCCAGATGAAATTCTAGGTCAGTGGTTCTCAACCTTCTGGCCCTTTAAATACAGTTCCTCATGTTGTGACCCAACCATAAAATTATTTTCGTTGCTACTTCATAACTGAAATGTTCCTACTGTTATGAATTGTAATGTAAATATCTGATATGCAGGATGGTCTTAGGCGACCCCTGTGAAAGGGTCGTTCGACTGCCAAAGGGATCGAGACCCACAGGTTGAGAACCGCTGATTTAAAGGATGTATAATGAAAAATAAGTTCCCCTTTTGCAGTTAGTTATACTGTTGTGTGTGTTTCTTGATGTTTAACATGTAGTGGCAGGAATATACTTGGACATTGCTTAATGGGTTCATGCGCTTACATTACCATGACTCACCTGCGGTGTGTAACTTGGGCATATTTACTTTATCGGTACAGTATGATTCACTTCAACTAATCCATCTCTTAAAGGCTGCTTTGTATTCTATTATTTCACTATTTACTGTAACTTAACAAGTACTCTGTTATTCCACCCTTGCTTGGTTTCTGGTCTTCTGCTAATACAAGGAATATGTAGGAAGCATCTGTGTACCTGTATCTTTGCGTTTTGAGGCTAGTATAAATCTAAATGTCACATTGCTGAGTCAGAGGGCATGCAGATGATAGAGATGGTCCCTACCACAGGGCAGTGTGGCATCTCTGCTTCCCCACATCTAACACACACATCCTGCCCCCATCGAGAACTATTAGACTGTCCCGCCTTTGCCACTCTGGTTGAAGGTAAATATCTCCTTAATTTTATCTGTAGCTGCCTGTGGTTGAGCATTTTTTAATATGTGTTGGCCATTCGTAGTTCTTTACTTTTTAAAAATATATATATTTTATTGATTTCAGAGGGGAAGGGAGAGGGAGAGAGAGATGGAAACATCAGTGATGAGAGAGAATCGTTGATCCGGCTGCCTTCTGCATGCTCTGCAATGGGGATTGAGCCCACAACCTGGTTATGTGCCCTGACCGGGAATTGAACCGTGACCTCCTGGTTCATAGGGCGACACTCAACCACTGAGCCACACCGGCCAGGCTGTAGTTCTTTTTCTATAAATTCACTGTGTATGTTCTTCTACCATTTCTCTATTACATTGTTTCTGTTCTGACTTTAAGAGCCCTTTGGATAATAAGAAAACAAAGCCTTAAGTATATGTAAGCACTCATTTATGTTTGCTTGCCACTTTTTGTTTTTCTAGAAGAATATTTTCATTGTAATTAAACATCCCCCCCCCTTTTTAAAAATATTTTCCCTTTTAAGGTTCTGTTTTATGTCAATCTTAGGCATTCCTCACTCCACTATTTACATTTTTTCAAGTGCATTTATTTTCTTCCTACAGCTTCGGTGCTTTTATTCAGTGTCTTTGTTCCATGTAGCACTTTACGTGTGTAAGAAATCAAGTGTAAAGATTCAGGCTTACTTTTTTTTTTCTTTCTCAAAGTGCGTAGGCAGTTGTATAAGCATCATCTACTGAGATATGCAATTTTCTCACTCTACCACATGCACGAAATTCTCACACAGGATATGCTTCTGAATGGTCTGTCAGTTTTGTTGATCAGATTGGTCCTGGGCCAGCATCACCTGGAGGTTATAATACATTTACTCTCATGGGGGCCAGGCCTTCATTCTTGCTTTTTCCCCCACAAATGTCATGTTATCCTCTCCCCGCCCCCCCAGCTATTCTTAGGCATTTATTCTTCCAGATGAATTGTTGCTTAAGCAACAGTTAAGTTTAAATATTCCCTCAAATACAACTCACTGTGTGGGAGGCTGTCACCTAAGACATGTCATCTTCATGTAACCCTCACAGGGACCTGTGACCTGCGAGGACAGGAAATCCCCCAACACACACACACAAACACACTCAGTCCCCGCTGTGTGGGCATCTCACAGGCCTGGGGGTGGTGTTTTCATGGAGCTGCTGGCCTGACGGCATGATTCAGAGGCTGAGCTGGAAATCGCTGTCCCCTGACTCACTAGCCAGTCCCAGGTCTGAGGGCCGAGGTTGAGGTGTGGAGGATTCCCTTCCTGGAAGCCCATCTCTGGCACCGGAAGCAGAGGCCTTGGCTGGCTAGAAAAACCGGAGAGAATCCCAGGAGACTGGTGCCGCTGGCCAAACCAGCCCTGCTTCCCCGGTTCTCTGGAGATTGGCACACTCCCGCCATAGCTTGGCTAATGTTTTGCTTGTTTTGTATCCAAATGGTGGCTCATGAAATTTTTTTTTGTTTGTTTGTTTTTTTTTATCCACTTGTGACATAATCACATGGACAGACTGTTTACTCTTTCAGAGCACTAACTTGGGAAAAGTCTCAACTTTGTCCTACAGATCCATGGCGAGACAGCAGGGAGGGCACCGGACTCAATTTAGCCTGAAGATGTAGATGTATTCATTCTTGTAGGACAGACTCATTGATCCTGCTTGTTTCCGGGGCCCTGGGGTTTTGACAGAACAGCAGGTCAGCCCTGGCCCTCACAGCTCACAAGATGGTCTGGGCCACAAACCATACAGTGAACAGCACCATCTCAGACTGTGAGCTTGGTCCTTGCAGTAACTGATAGCCCTAGAGACCCAAGCAACACACATCCTAGCCCTCAGCTGCCCCGGAGCCTCCCTGCAGGCATCACCGCCCCTCCGCTTTCCCTATCCTGGCTCCAGCCACCTGGAGGAGAAGCGCATGTGGTCTGTCTTAGCCCATTCCGGCTGCTCCAACAGAAGACAGACTGGGTGACTTCTAAACAGACATTTATTCCTCACAGTCTGGAGGCTGAAAGTCCAAGTTCAGGGCACCAGCATGGTTACGAGGGCACACGTCCAGGTCACAGACTTCTCGCTGTGTCTTCACAGCAGAAGGAGCAAGGGCTCTCTCTGGGGTCTCTCTTATAAAGGCACTGATCCCATTTATGAGGGCTCTACACTCGTGACCTAATGGCCTACCAAAGGCCCCATGTCCTAATACCACATAGGGGGCTAGCATTTGGGGGTGACACAAACAGACCAGAGCACGGTCTTGTGTGCTTTAGGCACAGGTTGGGACTTTGAGACTAGACCCGGGAGCCCACAGGCACTGTGGGTCCTAGAGTGTTCTCTGCTGCTCCACCCCGCCCCCCCCGCCCCCCCAGGCTTGACGAGGAAACAGGAACAGAAGGGGACAAGCGGCAGCCAGGGCAAAAACATGGGTCTTTTATCCACTGGGTTATTCCTGGCCCCAGAACCTCGTTGTGTATGGACTTGAGTGGAGGAGGAGGAGCCTCTGATGTCTTGTGTCCTTTCCTTTCTAGGTGAATCTAGGATCCAGCTTCCAAAATGTGGCGGCTCTTGGCCACCCTCAGCTGCCTGGTGGTGCTGACCAGTGCGCGGAGCAGACCCAGTCTCCAGCCCCTGTCAGATGAGCTGGTCCACTATATTAATAAGAGGAACTCTACATGGAAGGTGAGCTGTGGGGGCTGCTTCCTGCACGTGTCCCTCCCGAGGGTGGTCGGTCTGGGCACCTTGATTCCCAGCAGAGGTGGCCCACAGGACAGTTGAAAATCTGATTCAGAGTCATGGCCGCTCAAGACCAGGTCCACCTCCTCCCTG